CACACACACACACACACACACACACACACACACACACACACACACACACACACAGATACATACTTTTGAATTATGTAAAGTGATTTGCTCACACATACGTAGAGCTTTAGATGACACGCTGTTTCATTCGCACACAGCCTGACACACACACACACACACACACACACACACACACACACACACACACACAGTCAGACACTTACAAATGAGCTCACAGACAGCAGCACACGTGTGCTGGCAGACAGAATACACTCACACACACACATACACACTCAGACATGGCTGCAGGGTGTGTTATGTAGCACAGCTCCACTGGGAAAGGAAACAAAGCACTAGCTAGCTAGCTTAGCTACTGTTAGCCACCAGCTTTCATGTCTGGCAGTCACCATGGAAACGCCTTCATAGCAGCAGCAGTAGCAGGCACTGCCGTGAAGATCTGTCACACACTACTCACACAGTAGCCCTGCCATGCTTTAAAACGTGTGTGTGTGTGTGTGTGTGTGTGTACTAATGATGTTTCATAGCCTCTGTGGGTATGAAGCAATTAGGAAAAGCCCAAAGTGGCAGGAGGGAGAAGCCACATCCCCAACCAATCAGCTTCTCCTTTACCCCTGTTTGCGCCACATGAGGGTCAGCAAGTCACACATTTTAATGACTGGTACATCTCAGAAGTACACAGGATGGAATTTTCCGTCCGACATCAAAATTTTTCTTCTGTTTATTCCAATTTTAATTTGTTTTTAAAGAAATTCACTTATCATTGTTGATGACATTTAATTATTTTCCCCAGAAGACCAAAAGCAGCTGCTTAATGAATGTAATCTAATCTATCACACAATCAGTCAATCACTGCAGCGGCCGATGAGCAGGATTAGATTTGTGTTTCTGCTTCCTGTGAGGTTACACTTGGTTACGGAAGAAAAACAAATTTAATGATTAAAAACGGAGAAGGTGTTACCTTTTAACACTTATCACTGGGAGTTGGTGGGAAGTGACAGTTTTGTTAAGTGGAAGTGTCTTGTGGGACAGATAACCAAACTCTCCCAAATAACTGGAGAATACTCTGTGTGTGTGTGTGTGTGTGTTGTTAGTAAAGAGGCATCCGCTAAGAACTATTAATTAAGTCACTTATTCAACCAAGTATTCAGTTGCTGTATAAAGAGTCACGGGAGTAGATCCAGATACAAACACTGTAACAAAACAAATTTCCCACGTGTGGGACTAATAAAGGTTATCTTATCTTATCTTAAACTTTAAAGAGGATGACATAGAGTGACCAACGAAATAAAGACAAAGGCCCGTTTTGGAACATGTCATTAAGGCTGTGAGGGAGTCTGAATTGGTTGATAAAAGAAAGATCATCAGTTACGCTCGGTTTGGAGCTTTGCATGCAAATCAATTCATAACTTTTATGAATGTTTTTTCTGTATTTTTGATATTCTGTCTATCTCCATTAAAATGGTTCGAGGTTCGAGGTTTTGCCGGTGATGTGTGAAGGAAAAATATGCCAAATCTGTGCTGCTGTTCTGTCAGCTAATCATCTTTGATGATTAGTTGTTTAGTCAGTTTTGTAAATATGTGAAATGGGAGGACAATAAAGAGATACAAGAATGCTGTCACCTGGTCATTTACATACCCTCACTTAGTTTCTAGTCTCCACTTTTACTAGCCTCACATTATTGTTTTGGGCATCACTATGTTGATGTTTTTGGAGCGAGGACATCAAAGAATGCATAGACAAAGATACCCGGTCATAGCTAGTGCTAAATAACAGCCCAATAAAACAGGACAATTTATTTTCTTGCCATTTCCAAACTACAGCTTATTTAAAAGGTACCAACAGCACAACCACAGACAAGAGGCCTGTTCTTATATGAAGCTGTAAACATTCTGCTTTCATGGCTGAAGTTGTACATTGATGTGGGAGTGGACTAGTGACTAACTTTTTGAGCCAGCCTCAGGTGGACATTAGCTGAATGCCAGTTTTGCACTGGCTTCATTTTCAGCCTAGAATTTTGCAGTTTGAGTGATGTACAGCAGCGGTCCCCAACCTTTTTTGCGGCACGGACCGGTTTATGCCCGACAATATTTTCATGGACCGGCCTTTAAGGTGTTGCGGATAAATACAACAAAAATAAAACTAGTACCAGTACCGAAAAAAAGAAAATTTATTCATAACACACGTGAAAAGACCAAGGAAAACCGAGTAAATGATAAAAACGATAACAAAATAACCCTGAAAACTGATAAAAACCCTGAAAACTATACATTTCACACCTGAGCCTCAACTCTCGAGGCCCGGTACCAAACGACTCACGGACCGATACCGGTCCGAGGCCCGGGGGTTGGGGACCGCTGATGTACAGAAGCAGGAGTCACAAACATGTCTGTCTGTAAATTTAAGCAATACCTGTTTAGAAAAAAGTCACACAGAAAGTCAACTGATAAACCAGTTTGTCTTCTGGAAAGCAAGTCATAAAGTCAACACAAAGTAGGCCATTTTTAAATCCATAATTCATTTTGAACTGCTGGTACTGACAGCTGAACCGCTCTTCATTGAGAGCCAGATGCTGCATGTGTGTGTGCGTGTGTTGGTACAGTGTGTAACCAGGCCGTGTGCTGTCTCCCCCTCCCTAATCCTTCAGTCTGTCCGGCTGTCCCATCGCTGCTGCAGAGAAGATGGCGAAGGTCCATGAGAAGACTCACTCAACTGACAGCGGCAGTAAGACCAATCAGGCGTCAGACCGTGTCCTCAGGTACCGCCCACTTCAGTACAGTAAAGCAGCATATTTTGAATTCTGATAGCTTAGCAAGGGATGCCGAATTGCTCACTGAACTCTGAATATGGTATGTTATGGAAGCATTTTTTTTCTTTGGGGTTTTTTATATCTGGGATGTTGAATGGTGCAATGAAATTCCCACACATACAGCTCCAGATCATATCAAACATAAGGAACTGGGGATGCAGAACAACTAGTACTCCTCATTATATCTAGGTGCAGGTCACTAGTACTGTACATTCAACCACATGTGTGACTAGTTCAGATATGGTGGGAATTCCGGAATCAAAAACTATCCTGTGAATAATTAGCAAACACAAACAAAAAATTTTATTACTAAAAGTTTGCACTTATTTTGATGGAGAGCATCTCGCACCACCTTAAATGATCGGGGCAAGCTTAATAGCGTCTTTAAGCTTGAGACTTGCAAAATATTCCATAACAAAGAAAACCTTCATTGTTTTCTATTCGATGATGCAAAATGGTTTAACAATTTCCTGGTATATTTCTGAGTTGTAAGGCAATCTGGGAATATATGTTGCCTTTTTTAAACAGAATGTACTGAAAGCTGAAAGGATGTCAGCTAGCAACTAAATAAAAAGCTGGGCTTAAATATTCTTCCACAAAACAGAAACTCACCATCTTCTTCCACTAATTACCATTCGAAGTTTTTTAGGGATGCTGAATGGTGCAGCCAATTTTTTGGCGTAAAGGTAAATAACACAGACTGTTATTAGTTCTTTGAAAAAACACAACAAATATAAAAAAATCCACTTTTTAATCCGAAGTAGGGATGCTAAATGGTGCAGTGAAGTTCGATCCCAGCCTTATTTACCCTCTGGCTGCCTTTCAGACCAATGTGTTTTGTGAAGCAGCTGGAGATTCCTGAGTATGGCTACAAAAACAATGTTCCCACCAGCACGCCACGATCCAACTTGGCGAAGGAGCTGGAGAAATACTCCAAGACCAGCTATGACTATGGCGGCTATGATGCCCAACACGGCAGCTACGGAAAGAGAGGTCTGACGACCAAGTCCCACCACCACGGACGAGACACCTCCCCGAAGGGATTCGACGGTGAGAAGAATTAACATGCACAATTGCAAATCATAGGTCCCACATTTAGATCATGTGACAACAATTTATCGTATATTTTAATTGGTGATTTGCGTCTTTTGTTTGTATGGGGTCTGACATTCTTCTTACCTTTTGAAGAATATTGGAGATATTTATTTGAGTTAATGATGGATCCATGTGTCTAAAAAATTTATTATAGGTAAATTCAAAATCACCGTAAAAACCATGGTCAGGCTTATTGTGATTCCTTTTTTTGTTTGTTTGAAAGGAAAAAGAATCCTTCCAGATGATCCCACTCTTAGGGATTACTATTCATTTTCCTGTTCTGAGGAGAACATTTTGTATCCGATGTTAAAAGCATTATAACGTGCACAACGACACATGCTCTGTGCTGCTTGTCTTCTCTTTGTTATAGAGCTAAAAACACTGATGTTTTCGGCCTCTCCACATGGCTGGAGCAGAGTTATGGAAATGCCAAGCTAAGAGCCTGCCTCCTCTGAGCAGAGGATGGAGGGATGGAGGGAGGGAGGAGGTACAGATGGAGGGATTGTGAAACAGGAGAGATAATGGAGGCGAGCCCTGTTTCTTTGGCTGGGAGCCATTAGTGAGAAGCAGGCAGGAGGGAGATTTTTAGACGAGGTGTCTGAGCTCCCCTCTGTCACGACTCCCTCCCTGCCTCCCTCCTTTCCACCATTCTTCCCTCCATCAGCATCGTTCCGGCCTGCCGAGGCCGGATTCACCACCACGCAGCGTCTTTCTCTGGCTTTGCCCAAACATCTGTTTCTCTGTCTTATGTTGAATGACTCTATGTCTCCCTATTTAGCGCATAAGGCTGGTGTTCATATATGTTTTCTAGCTGGCAGCAAATCCTTTAAACAGACCAAAAATGGCCTTTAAATAAATTATTGTTCCTGTGGGTCCATTTTTACATACTGAAGATACAAATATTGTAAGTAGTTACTTTTTTAAAAAAAGGTCAGTTATTTTCTGGGACAGCTGGGCATTGTATTCTTTTTTTTTTTTTAGCAAATGTTACTCACAAAGAAGGAAATGCTGCAGTTCTTAGAATTTGTTCCAAATAAAAATCAGATGTAGACATCCAGTCCAAAGCATTTTCAATTCAGTGCTGAGGCAGGAACAGTCTTAAGATATGTTATCTTGATTTACGAGCTCTGATTTTGGCAAAGTGACCAAAAAAGTTGAACAACTTCAACAATCTCAGGCACTGAGCTTGTTTGAATTTTAGTTTGGAGTGGATTCTTGTTCTGGTCAATTCATTGTTTCCCCACTTAATCCTAGAAAGCCTTAAATTTCAATCTGTTTCTCTCGCTCTTTCCCCTCACCAGTCTGTCTTTTTTATTGCATATTCTTAAAAGCTAGAGGATCTCTCTGCAATTTTAAACCCCGTGCAAAAAACCCATCTGCTGAACAGCTTGGCCAAAAGCCAGCATCAGCCTAACAAATCAGCCATACTTGTGTGCACCCCTGCAGCTAAGCGCTACTGTAAGACGTCCAGCCCGGCCAGCAGTACGACCAGCAGCTACGCTCCCAGCAGCAGCAGCAGCCTGAGCTGTGGAGGAGGAGGAGGTGGAGGAGGAGGGGGAGGCGGTGGAGGTGGAAGCAGCGCCAGCAGCACCTGCAGTAAGAGTAGCTTTGACTACACCCACGACATGGAGGCGGCCCACATGGCGGCCACGGCCATCCTTAACTTGTCGACACGGTGCCGGGAGCTCCCGCACGCTCTGGGAGGGAAACCCCAGGACCTGCTGACACAGGTAATCTGAGGCGCTGCAAGTAAAAATGGGATGCCTGCCTTATTACATCACATCCCTAAACAATGGCAGGAGTGGGGAAAAATAAGACAAGGCAGCTTTGTCTAGAGAGCGCAACTCAGAGAGGAGCATTAGGAAAACATATCTAAATGTAATTTTGCCTAAAATTCTTCATACTCGTGTTGGACTTTTGGGTTTTAAGATATATTATTGACACATCAAATTTATTCTTTCACCATTTTATAAAAAAGGTGACATAAGGCTATGAGAAGAACATTCAAATCGATGTTCGATATTTTTAACTATTTGTATGATTATATTTGACTGATTTCCCAAAAAATCTCATCTCCAGAATTATTCATACTCTTTCTCTGTAGCCTTTATTTGTAGCTGCAGCCTCCAAGTACTTTATGCAGTTGAATATATTTCTACACGTCTCCACAATGATTTTGGTGAACTTCTCCAGGTCCTCAAGGTTTGAGGGTTTCTTTGCCATGATCTTGGTCTTTAGTTCTCTCCAGAAATTCTAACCGGGCTCAGGCCGGTGCGCTGGCTTGGCCACTCCAAAATATTTAGATTATTGTCCGCAAATTGTTCCTTTACTAATTAGGCCATATGTTTTTGGACTGTAATCTGGTTAGATGGTCCGTGCTGCCCAAGAATGCTGGATGAATGATTTTAATGATTCCTTCAGCTTTTAAAAGGTTCATCTGGGTCCATCCCGCCTCAGTGTTTGACCAGTGAGACTGTGTTTTCTGGGTGAATGCTTCACATTTCTTCACCAAACAAAAGCCACATCTCTGTGGCTGAAGAGTTCCCATCTGACCATAACACTGACAACCAAAATCGTAGCTCTGTCACAGAGCTACAGAAACTAGATGAGCTTGTGTGTGCCTGTGTTGGAGGAGTGGTCACTGTCCATGAAAAGCCCCCTTGGATAGTGTTTGCTGCTGTATCTTCTTGAAATCTGTGTTCTGGTGTTGCTCAGATTTTGTAGAATAGTCTTAGTTGTGATGTGTGGGTTACTGCTGGCCTCCCATAACACACTTCTTCCCAGATGGCGTGTAACTTTGGGCTTTCTACAATGTCTCTTCAGGTTCTTGACTGTGTGGAATATCTTGTTCTTGTTAATGATGCTCTGTGGGTACAGGGACCTGGAATCATTTGGATATAGCTTTGTAGTCCATGGCATCCTTGACAACAATCAAAATATGTGACCAGAGCTCCTCACTTAGTTCTTACTCATAGCACATTCTAGTGCTGACCATGAACTGGCAGCATTTTTACCAGCTCCCCTCAGCTTCTCGGCTTCTGGACTTTTCTAGAAATCGACATGGATTTCTTGCCTACCATTGCTGAAAATACCTAAAATACCTACACTGTAAAGAAACAATAATCCTAATATTGAGGCAGGTGAAGAGTATGAATCATTTTGGACAGCATGTACAAATTATTATAAGTATTAGTATTGTTATTGTTATGCCCATTGTGTACTATCAACATGCATCTGGAACATTCTATCACAACTACAATAAACTGAATAAAGTAAAATTTCACCCCTGAGCTTTCATGTAAAAGATCTCACAGGAGTACGAATAATTATGGGCATTACTGTTGATACAAATAGAATAAAATCATTTAGGCTAGCATATAGTAAGATAACAGTTAGATTGCAGTGATAGTAAAAGTAAAGGTGCAAAAAAGAAACAAATCAAAAGTAGTAGAAAAGTAGCATCACATTTAAGCATCACCTGGAAGTCTAGGAAATGTAACTGGATGCCAGCAGAGCAGGAGTTTAGTATGGAGAAGGGTTTATACAGGTCTTCTGGTTTGGCAGCAGCTTTTTGAATGACCTGAAGACTGAAAACATTTAAAACCTCTGTGACTGAGACTGTGTGTATACTAGCCTGTAACCTCCTGAGAACTTGTTAGAAATGATAAAATAAGCTTTTTGAAAAAAAGCAACAATAATCACATAACAAAAATAAGCCCTCTGAATACCTCACCAGTATTCAGATTCCTTTGCTCTTCAGAGTCCAGTTGGCGATCTGGATGACAGCGGGGCGGTGGATGTGGCTGGTCAGCCAGGTGGCCCTGAGGGCAGCGGGACGGTGTTAACCCCGCTGCAGCCGATGTCTCCCCAGCGGCAGGCTCTGCTCAGCAGCCGCTGCTACCAGCTGAGCGACACCGACTGCTGGGACCTGCCCGTCGACTGCAACAAGATCAAACGTTTGGGAGACGAGCAAGACCACAAAGAGGTAACGGGAAGGTCTACACTGTGCAACACTTACAGAGCTTAGAATGAGCATTTCCAGAAATTATTATTATTATTATTTTTGGGATGCGTTCAATCTAAAAAAATTATTTGCAGTGCTGTTCGAATGTGTGTTTTTGATGCTGTTTGTCTGCCTGCAAGGTTTTTCAAAATCTGCCAAGTGAAATTTCATGAAACTTGGTTGAAAAGAAGAGCACTGACAAAGCACGTCTAAACATATTTCATTAAAATAGGTCATGGGCCTTGGTAGAAGGTGTGTTTTTGTGGTTGATCTGATATCCTCGTGTTGGTGTTGTTCCCAGATCATCATACTAAATGTTGTTCCAGGACCAACATTGCAAGTGACCAATCAGAATGTTGTGACGTCATACTTTTGCGACTTCGGGAAAAACCGGCGTAAAACAAAAAACTGTACTAAAGCTGCGTGAAACCGCCTCTGTCCGCCGATCAACGGACCCTGACCCTAACCGTAACCCTTTAATAAACAGTAAGCAGAATTGATATTGTCCTTGCAACATTGGAATTTTATAAATGCACGAATGGCTTGGCGCGCAAAGGAATAACGTCACAACAATGTGATTGGTCACTTGCAATGTTGAACCTGGAACAACATTTTCATGATGGTCTGGGAACAACACCAACACGAGGATATCAGATCATCCGTGTTTTTGTAGGTATTTGAAAGTTTCCTATAAATACTGACTTTTTATCATAGGGCGATTAAAAAGTCCTGACACTGTTGAGTTTATTTTCTGTTATTGTTTCCTCACAAGAGGTCTCCCGATTCACTGATATCGTTAAATAGACTATGATGCTCTTTTACAACTTGATGCTGTTTATTATTTTACTTTTTAGAGTAGCTTTGCATAAGTCACAGATCAAAATGAGCCTTACAGCCTTTTTCTAGCTTTTATGAAAGCCTCTATGAAAAAAGCGCTTTTAGCTCCTTCCTTTAGCCTTCGCTGCGGTGGAATAGTGGAATAAAATCGATGGGTGGATGCAAATTCAGATATTCCTCTACAAATAGTGACGTAGTGTAGTATGGTGATTAAACGATACTGCATCTGTGACATCTGCTTGCAGTTGAAAGTGGTCACCTAGAGGTTGAGTGTGCAACACCCTGACGCTCTGTAGTAGCTGTGGCAAAGAAATACTTACAATCGCAAGGAGGTTTACTAGTGTGCCTTTGCCATTAGATGCCCATATAAGGATAACCCCTCCCAATGACATCATACAGAGCCAAGAGTAGAAAAAAAATTTGAAACTGGGTGTTTAGAGCAGTAGAAATCCTGAGCTTTCAGCTCAAAGGGACTACTTGCACATACACTGACATCATCATTTCAAACTTTGGCCATGTGTAAAATGGGCGTAGGTTATAGGTTAACTTTAATAAACTCAAATAAAAAATGCAGCCTTTGTTAAAACTTTGTTAGCTTGTTGTAGATGTTGAGCTGACCTGCTGTGCACTGACTTACAGACCAAATTACTTAAGCAACTCATTTGAAATTATGTGACTTGTAGGAAATAAACAATTATTTATTTGTAGCAACTGATATACGTCGTTCAAAGAGCCTTCATTTGAAATTATAAACCAGTTATGAGGAATTTGCTGGCTTTCAAATCAACTGTTATCTGAAGTTCTGCAAAATACTTTTCAGAATCGCTGATCACATTAGCAGCATCTACACTACATATTTCAAATCTACTGATTTAAATGCAGCAAAGAAGACTAGAGTTTGGTGTATTTAGTGTTGCGGCAGATTATTACACAGCTTGCAGGACTCGTCTTTACAGGAGGTTCTGCACCACTCTAAGTAGTTTATATAGAAACGCAGCAGGGAGCAGATTAATATTTACACTGACACAAACTAATGTAGAGAGTAATTTCTGTACTACAGTATGCTTGATTAAAACTTAAAATATTTAATGATATGGAGGCAGAGACACCTTGAATTTTTCATTTTAGGATTAAGGTGACAAGTGCTTTGAATAAGTAACCTGAAGAGGTGGAAGTTAAATATTTTTAGGCCACGCTAAAGCTCTAAATGTTGCTCTTGCTGCACTCTCTGCCCTTACAGTTATGATTAAGGGTTTTAAGCACTTGATTTAAGATTTATTTAGGCCCCTAATCGTGCAAAGTAAGGATAATTTCAAGCATGAAATTGAGAGATTTAAGGAACCCAGAGTTTATATTATGTGTTCATGCATAGATTAGAAGATGATCATAGTTTATAAGCTGTTAGAAGGGAATCCTTATTCTGCGGTGCAAAGCAGAAAGGGCCATAGAGAAGTTCTGGGCTTATTTCTTGCGAGGGTGTACTTCTGGTTGCCGATTGTTACGCATAATTTTTGCATCACTTTACATACGCAAGAGGAAATTTTGTGAGTTTGGAAGGGTTTATTATGTTTGCATGCACTTCTTCACCAACCCAAGGCATTGAAATGGCACAGAACGATGGTGCTTGCCAAAATTGTACATCGCCGCTCAGTTTCTGCTGTTCACCCCTCACCCTGGAGCCACCAAACAGACACAGTTCAACAAAAGAATAATAAAGAGAGACCGCTGAAGAGAGAGATTGCAAAATCATATAAAAGAAGAAACGCCATCACACATCTCACACAAGAGACTTACAGCCGAGTGTATGAGTGAAAACAAAGAAACGGAGCTTTATTGCTGTTAGTTGCTGAGTTACCTCAGTGATGTTATTCTGCCAAAGCGTAAGTAATTTAAACTTTAAAGTCGAGCTGTGTCTTTTTTTAAGCCTTTAAATAACACTTTATAGTAACCATCACATATAAACTGTAATCGTTAATAAAACATTAATAAGTAATTATTTCGTTTTTTTTAAAAGTAGATATTGCACAATGCATCAGTTTTTTTAGACATTATTTTTGGTGATAAAAGTTTCATTCGTATTTCTCGGGGCATCAAATGTTGTTTAGTTTGTGTTGCTGTTCTTATAATCATGTGTCTTATTTTGGTGAATCTTTGACATGCGAAGAGCAGATGAGGAGGACAGAAAGTCAGACACAAGAATGGGATAAAGAATAAGTTAAACTTTCAAAATAAAACTCCTTTTTAAAATGTTATATAGAAACAAAATGGACTTTATTGTTAAACATGGCAGAGAAGTCCAATTTATTGATCTGAGTAATGGCCTGGCAGCTGTGTCAGAGCACCTGTCACTGAAGATGGCGACGCCCCTAACGTCGTTATACAGTTGGATGAATGATTTTTTTTTTTTTAAAGCACTGATATGGAGGGGGAAAGATACTTATTTCTGCTGTAAAGTTGGAGATATTAACATGAAAGTCTGAGGAATGATACACTTTCAGAGTCAGCCTCAAGTGGCCATTAGAGGAACTGCAGTTTTGGTGCCTCTGTACTGGCTTCGTTTTTCAGCTCTGGAGGTTACTGCTTGGTCTGCAGAAACTGGGTCTTTTATTTTGAAAAGATACTTCTTTTTTTTTTTTTTTTATCCAGCTCCTTGGTGTGGCCTCCTAAAAAATAAGTAAATAAAAAAACAAGATCTGACTATTTTAAGCAAGTCAGCATCTAATATATAATCTAATATCTATAATATTAGATATATTAAATATTAAAAACCTGTAAAGTTGAATTAATTATCCACTTTCCATTTATGAAGATTGTTGTTATTGTGTTACCAGTCTTTAATACACTACTGTGAAATTAACTTTATATTACACACATAAAAGGGAAGTCGTTCGTGCTGCGGAGATGCGATAGATCAGAGAAAATCTTACAATGTGGCACGGAACAAAAGGATCAATCGGCTTTAGTCTTTTAGAACAAAAAGTTGTGATGCAATACAAGCATAAATAGGGTTACAGCTATTCATCACAGCCGTTACAGTCCATCCACGTTGTCAGTGCACTGCAACACTAATCTAAGATCTAAGTGAACAGAGACAAAATAAGTTTGATAAATGGGTTTTAATCTAAAGTTTCTGGGGAGTAAAAGTCAAGAATTTCCATTTTTATCTCATGCAAGTTCAAATTTCTCTGTGCAGTTTGATAAATAACCCTGGCTGATAGGGTGGATGCAGACAGGCTCTCCGGAAGGCTCAGTGCGCTCCCATGTGGCCAGAAGCAGCACTGCATGGTTCAGACTAAATGAACGCTTCAGGAGCTCACACACGGTGCATTAAAATACTGAATTACAGCACTAATACATAAGTAAAACACGATAGATCATCGGCACGCTTTAAATCCTCACAGATCTGATATCACACAGAGCAACCCATGCAGCAAATTGCTACATTTGCCTCGTTGGATTTAGAGCGCTGGAGTGAAAGGTTTTAATCAGGAGAGTAATTGCGTTTGTTAATGAAGCACGACATTGCAGAGGAGGCCGGAGCCCAGAGCGAGGCGTCTGATGGGATTTTCTCCAGACAGTCCACAACGATTTCTGCTCCCGACTGAGGAGGTGTGATGTGTGGACTGCAGAGCAGACTGCAGTGTTCTTAGAGCCACAAAAGCTTTTTGTTCACAAACTGCTGCAGAAAGAAGCTCGACCTGGTTAACAAGCAGAGAGACACGCCTCTGACACCTGTGCTGGGAACACGTTTATCTGGAAATCATCTGGCAACCAGTACAGATCTGCTTATTATGACCAGAACTTCAGGGACACTAAATTGATATGACTCATACAGCTACATTAAAAAGGGCCTAAATGCTATAAATCAGGCTCTTCTTATTAGTTATTCGTACACACATAAATGCCATAGCACTCGATTTATGTCCACAATAATTCCCTGGTATGTTTATAATTTGTTTCTTAAAATTAAATTTATATAAATATGTTTAAAAATGTTCCACCACACAGAGAAAAAACATAATATACATAAAGCACAGCTATATAACAAACCTGTAGGTACATATAGGCTGTTTATGTGTAAACAGCCTATATGTATGTTTTTAGACCTTCTGGGCACTGACACACTACGCTGATCTAAAAAAAGGCCAAATGTTTTCTAAAACACTGATTATATTTTTTTTAGATTTATAAGCAAAGATTTATATACCAAATACATTCCTGAGGATTCTAGAATATTTTTTTAAACTTACTGTAAGGAAACACTCCATATTTTATTCAACTCATGTAGAATGAATCAGGTTTTCTTCTGAATTTTTGAGATAAATGTGTTGTGTGTAACTAATGTGAGAATCGTTCCAGTCATTTTTTTCTCTCCTAATCCTGCTTTTAACTGTTTTATATATAACACACAACATTTGTACATGTTGTAATCTGCACATTTTTATAAGTTAGCCTTTAAAACTTTCTGATTGTAACATTTTGGATAACGCCTAAAAGGTTTTCACGTTGTGACATATTGATTTTTTTTTTTTTTTTACATAAATGAGATGAAGCCCTGTTGTGGGTTAAACTCAGCTAAACTACAGTGGAGGGTAATATTCTTACTTACGGCAGGAAACGTACACGTATGAATGACAATAGCACATATTCTGTGAGATGACATAGACGATTTATACATTCTGACTTTTTAATGTTATTTCTTTACATATCACCCTCTTCGTTTGCATCTGTGGTTATTTTTTATTTCAGTAAATTAAAATGTTCTTTTAATTCTGACTTTTTAATTTATTTTAATTACTTCTAAAGTTGTTATGGAACACAAATTAATTTACTATATCATAGCGATGTGTTCAGACATGAGGAATGTCTAATTAATGTTACAGGGAATCTAACGACTGTTTCACTGAGGATAACATTATCTTTGACCAAGGAAAACCTAACATTACCTGATAATGCTGTTTTCACATAACCTTGTTGTCTCCTGTGTTTGAAATGGGAATGTGTTGTGAAGTTTGTGTAAATTTGTAAACGAAGAGCTTTTAGTGACGCGCTGTAGTCGGCTTATTTCTCGTCCTTACACCAGAGCGACGAGCTGGATCCCTTCCAGGAGCTGCTGGACGAGCAGCACTACCCGGCCGAGGTGACCATGCCCAGCCCCAAACACCACAAATACCTGCCCTGCAAGGAGAGCAAGAAGGAGCTCATCACGTAAGTAATCCGACTGCTGCACGCTGTTACCCAGCAGCCTCTGAGCCAAACACTCTCCCGTTCAGGTCGAAGGATGGCGAGAAACCCTCAGTCAAAGGCAGCTGAGGTTCACTATGCGCTATATGTCACTTCACTTTCCTGTCTCATTAAATTGATGGTGCAGCAGTCTTACAAAAGTACATAAATATAGACATAACCCTGAAACATCAGCAGATAGCAAAGACAAACAGCACGAGTTTGAAGCGGGAACGAAACTAATTAGCAACCTTGTAAATTTAGAAACGGAGATCGGCACATCAGTGCGTGTTGTAGTCTCCGTGGTGTTTCTGATCTCGTTGAGAGGCTTCATCAGATGTGACACAGGCGTTCGCACCATCTTCTGTCGCCAGCTGCCGAAGAGCCAATAAGACAAAGGCTAACAGCTCAGGATTATTAATGACAGGAATTCACAGGCCAAAAGGAAAAAAAATTGTTCTCATCATTTTTTATTGATATATTGCTTTTCCCCTCACTGTAGCTCAATAAGTGCAGACACTTCACAGCGCACACGTATCAGGAGATGTGTGTGATATAAACAAGTAACTGTGGAGGAGCTTGCTTCGCTTCTTTGCTATGCATAGCATGTGTCCTGATCGAGCCTTTTCTTTGGGGTTTGGGCAACTGGCCAAATTGTTTTTACTTTCATCAGCTTGTGTCACGGGCGCTCGTGTAAGCAAATAAAATCTGAAACTCTTGACTATGAGGCAGGCGTCTGAGTTGGAGGAGGGTCAGACATCAAAATCATCCCAGAGCAGTTTCCCTTAATTGATCTGGTTAATTACTTTGAAGACTGCATAACAACCAACAAACAAAATAAGTAAGACTTCAGGCTGTGAATGTTTTGCATGAGTGAAGCAGGATTCATGTGAGGACAGAGAAAATCTCTGTTATGCGTGTTTAGCCTAATCGTTCCCTACAGAGGCTCATCACTTCTGCGCTGCAAAGTTTACGTTTTACTTCTGCTTAGATGTTATTTGACCTGTTTCAGCAACTTCAAGTTTCTTTCAATTCAAAAATTTTAAAGAAAAAAATTAATTCTCGTAGAGATTTTAGTATTTCCACACTTTGGATTGTGAAATGTGGAAACATGGTACACTCAAAAAAAAAAGATTCTTTGTCATCAGAGTCTAAGGAGCTTGGACGGAAGCGACTGGACTTCTTTAAGTTAAGAGTCGCAGGTATGTAAACCATAGTGGGGAGCAGATGAGCCAAGGTGTGAAAAACGGCATGGGTCATTACCACCAGGGTTTAGGGTGAAACTACTTTGAGACCTAACCTCATTCTACCATGTGACCTATAGAGGTCACCTGGCACCTGGGAAAGGATCTTAAGACTCCACAGTTGGTGTCGTGAGCCACCTCCTCTGTTCAGTGATGGACAATCACAGTGGACATGGATGGTCTCTTTTACCCTGCTTTCAAACCATCTGGCTTCCCGTCAAAAATGTGAACATTGGCATCTTCAAAAGGCTGAACAGCTTAACCCAAAGTATAAAACTACATGTAATCAGATTACTTTCATTCAGAATTTGGGACACAATTTGGCTGTTACTCCTGACTCATCATGTTTGGTGTGAAGAATAGTGTTTTGTCCCAAATCCCGATCTTTTTCTTAAACCAGTTACTTCTTCATCAAAAACAAATCATCAGCCATCAGTTAACATAACACCGTCAAGAAAGAGGACTTCTATCTATGAAGTGTATGTTAGCTCCACTGTTTTGTTCACTGACCATAAGTAAGGCTATTGTTTTCCAAACAAATGATGCACTTTCTTCTTGTTCCTTGCAATCAAATTCAAATTTACATTTTATTTGTCACACACACACAACCATACACAGTATGACATGGGGGTGAAATGCTTGTAGCTGTGCAATGCCCGACCATTGAATGACAGTGGTTTTACAGTATTTACAATTTACAGGTTACTACAAAAATTTACAAATTAACTTAGAAATTTACAGTAAAAAATGTGCAAATAGCAGACAGAGATTATAAAGATTATAAATTATAGGAAGTGTGCATAAAGAAAAACCAGAGTGCGTGTGGTGATGTGATGTGTGTGAGAGTCCAGTCTTATAGTGATGTAATGTGTGTGGGAGAGTCCAGTCCTACGCCTGGTTCAGGGTCCGAATAGCCTGGGGGAAGAAGCTCCTCCTCATTCTCTCTGTTTTGGCCTTAAGGGAGTGGAAGCGCTTCCCAGACCTCAACAGTGAGAAGAGTCATCAAATCAAATAATCAAGTAATCAAACGTCTTTAGCAGAAGGTGTTTGGTCTTTGGGAAGGAAGGTGTTTGTCAGATCCAAGTCCTTTTTCTTGTGCTTTTGTGTGCTGTTTTTGTAACCAAATAGTTGAACTTAAACCCAACTAATGACTTAGAAATCAAACAAACTGTAAAACTCAAATTTCTAAAGGAAGCACAAATCTTGGTATCCTGGCTAGTAAGCCTTTGGCTTATGGAGTTCATTTTTCCAAGTAAAGGCCTTACAGTATAGTGAGAAGCTCATCAGTCAGGCAATCCCCTGTAAGTGACTGATTGGCAAGTGACTGAGGAAGAGCTGCGTTTTAACAGGAAGAGACCCCAGATTTAGTGGAGCAACCAGAGGAACCCACAAACAATAAGCAGGACAGACACAAAATACAAAAGATGACAAATGTTAACGACACCTGGCACGAGTAGCACAGTGCTGCCACAATGCTGGTGGTGAGTTTCACCAGCACCACCTAGGTGCTTGCCATAGGTCTGTAAAACAGGATCTTTATGTCACAGTGGCCAATGTTCCTGCAGCCAGTCCAACAAGGCACTGTTGCTAAAAAGAGAAGAAAAATAACTCTTGTGTGTAACAGTGAGACACAGCCATCGTCGGAGAAAACCACATTATGTGTGGCCCTGGGATGAGAGCATGTTTGTAAAACTGTCGGTGGTGTTAAAGTAATAGTGGCTCTTCTCCTCCTGCAGGTTGTCAAGCTGTCAGCTGGCCGACAAGAACATCCGCGGGATGATGACCACTAACTCACAAGAACTCAAGTGAGTCAACAGGATCAGTGTATCACTGGTGTGTTGTTCTCAGCAGAGTGGAAAGTGTGGGAAGGAAAGAATGTTAAAAATATCGACTGCTGTCCATTCAGTGTCCTTTCATTTAAAAGTGTGTAACTTTTTCTATGGTTGGATTTAGAGCCCGCTCTTCTCTGGTTCATCCGTCATCGGTTTTCCTAAAACCATTTCTTCCTGTCTATGATGCTTTGGGTACCACTCTAATGTGTTACTGTAATTGATTTGTGAGAACTGCGAGTGTCTGATGTCAGACATTCACGGAAAAAGAAAACATTTTTCTGGATGTAGTCTTTCATTTTTTTTTTTCGACACAGGAACCATTATGTGATAATACAGTTGTTTGATCTTGTATTTACTCCTCAGGTGTCCAACGCCCGGCTGTGATGGATCTGGACACATCACTGGAAACTATGCCTCCCACAGGAGGTACATTCGTAAAGAGTATAATATACAACTGCGTGCATGAAATCACAGACAAACAAACAGCAACAGTAAACCATGCTTCACTGAACGCACATGTTTTAAGTAATTTTCTGTTCTGCAGTCTGTCCGGTTGTCCACGAGCCAAGAAAAGTGGCATAAAAATCCTCCACAGCAAAGAGGACAAAGACGATCAGGAGCCAATCAAGTAAGGAGATATTTTGGAGATATGTCACAGCCTTAATATTGAGAATATTGGAAAGTGTCAGGTCTAAGATTAAAAGTAAACCCAAGCAAAATGAGGGGCAAAGACAGTGCCACTCAAAAAACTACCAAAGCTCTGTCATTGAGACATTTAAATATCTGGCTAGATTCAAGGTTGTGCATTCATTTAAAGTGAATGCACTTCTTAAATATTTTCCTATGATGTATGAGGCAGTTTTTGCCATATTTTATCAGCTTCTTCCCTGGTGTTGTTAAACTGTCTGAGACAAAGCAAAGAACAAGTAAAAAAAAACAGATTTCAGACCAGTAACTGAGATGTTGCTCATAGATTTTATGTAAGGTCCACAAATACAGGGCTTAGGTGTCCTGTTTTTTACATCTTACCACTATATTAAAGCTTATAGAACAATAACAGCGCTTTAGAAAAGCAAATTCTAGTTTCTCTTAAAAGGTTTTTTGCTGCTGTTGGTTTTATTCATGTTCATCAGCATCTTTATGTTCCTCTCTTAAATGTAAAATAATTATTTTAAGGCAGATATTGGATTTTAAGAGAATAAATCTTTGAAACAACACCTTGCCAAAAAATACAATAAGTCAGAGAGAACAAAACATTTAGTGATGTCAAACTCTGAGGGGGGCATTCTTTGGGTTGTGCAGGCTTGTTGGTGAGGTCAGTGGAATCTGGGGACTTTGGAGGTGTTGTGGAGGTTTGCTGCACATGCTAATGGATATATGAAGAATTAAAATAACAGGTTAAACTGTTGCCGTGTATTTTAAACAGGTAGAACAGGATTCTCATCTTCTGACAACTTTTTTAGAGAAAAGAGAGAAGGTGCATCAGTTAGACTTTTCAAATCATCAGCAAGGAGGAAGGACTGGCTTGTTTCGTTGCCTCTTAAAAGCACATTCCAGGTCCCATTATTATGCTTTTTTTTTGCATCAAGGTCAAAGCACTTTGTTAATGATAGGTTCATCCATCATCCCTCTCTTAAAATGCTGCCTATGTAGACTGACCTTTCTAACTTTTGCAAAGAATATTGCAAAAGCGGGGAGCCGCGGTCAGTGCTGCACTCCACCTCCGGCTCCCAGCAGACCAAGTCCAATAAAGGTTAGCGCTAGTGAGCCTTTGACATTTGTGTTAAAGCCGAGCCATAATGCTAAGCCAATATGACCTTGTGAATAATCTAAAGTTCAGCTTGTGTCAGTCTGTAGCCAGCTGCCGCCGCCGCCTCTGTTCCATCCACCATCATCATTAACAGTAGAATCATAATTAAGCTTAACCTGAGCTCGGCTGGGGAGCGGCCTGTGGACGCTCGGCTCATTCTAATCAGCCCAAATGTCACAGCGAAGGGCGTTTTGGGATGCAGGAGGCAGAGCTGAGTGTCTGGAAGCTGAGGAGGTGATAGGCGTTTGTCCTGCTCATCGTTACGCTGCTGTGGCCTTGAGGCCTTGGAAGGGTGGGGGAGGATTGTAGATGAGGAAGTGAGTCGTGACTCAATGTCCTCCCCCATTCATCAAGAGTCCTATGGAGTGCTGTGGACAGTTTCTAAAGCAAAGTGTTTCTGTCCAGCTGATCAAAGAGCTGATGATGGTTAGTGTGGCTGGCTGCGTTAGTCTTTTCTTAAACTAAAGCTTTTTGGAGGTGACAAGACTTCACTTCAGGTTAGAACTGTGGAGTGTTTTCAAAGGAGCTTGCAAAGAAAAGCGTCTGGACTTCTTTAAGTGGAGTGTTTTAATTTTTTTTTTGAAAAGCAAACGGAGACCTTTACACTTGTTTCTCAGGTGTCCAGTGCCAGGTTGTGATGGTCAGGGTCATGTGACAGGGAAGTACGCTTCTCATCGCAGCGCATCAGGCTGCCCCCTTGCGGCAAAGAGGCAAAAGGACAGCTACGTCAATGGCTCGCAGTTTGTCTGGAAATCTGGCAAGACAGATGGCATGACCTGCCCGACCCCGGGCTGTGATGGCTCAGGGCACGTCAGTGGGAGCTTCCTGACCCACCGGAGGTAAGATCTTTCTTACTTTAAACAAAGTTTGTCATCAGTTCCAACTTTTTTATACAATTTTGGGGGTAAATAATGGCCAATATTCAGGTCCTCTCCTCCTGCTGTACATGCTGTTGGCTTTTGGTCACCGTTTTTCAAATAAGGCAGCGATTTGTATGACGTTATCTATGCAAAAATAAGATAGATTTTTTAACTTGGAGAAACATTTGGTTTATGTTTTTTTTTCAGTCTCTCCGGTTGTCCTCGCGCCACCTCAGCCATGAAGAAAGCCAGGATGAGTGGCGTGGAAATGTTGACAATCAAACAAAGAGCAAGCAAAGGTCAGAGCTCAAGAAACAGAAGAAGCTTTAAGTGAATTATTATATATATTATTATATATCTGAAAGAGTGAAAAAAAACCTAATTTCCTTATATTAGACATTTTACATGTGATAAAATGCTGTAATGCTGCTTTGACCGCTAAGTCTGGGGAGATGGATCTTTTTGGGTTTTTTTGTTTCAGGTATCGAGAACGATGAAGAAATCAAACAGCTGGATGAAGAAATCAAAGATCTGAATGAGTCCAACAGTCAAGTGGAGTCAGACATGATAAAACTGAGGACACAAGTAAGATGGTCTCTGTTTGTTAATGTAACATAAATACAAATACGTAAGACACTAGTTGGGTAAGAAACTAGACTGTCCTGTAATAGACAGAGATAAAGGTGTCCCAGTAAGCTGCTATTTCCAGTAGAAATGTTTTTGTCACATTATTTGACAAAAAAAATTTCTACTCGATATTTTAATTATTTGATTATTTGAAAATGATGCTGTTTTTTAAGTTCATGAAAACCTTCAATGTTTTCTTTTTCTTCTAATAAGAAGAATAAATCTTGCACCTTAACTGCACTCAGACTTTTAATCTGAAAGGGTTAGAGGAACTTTTGGCATTCTTAAAAAATACTTTCATAAGAAAATCCTGCCCTCAGCAGCCATCTTGCTTGGTTTCACATGCTTTTTAAGAGGTTGAAGAGAACTTCTTTAAGTTTGTTGAAGATCAATGTTAGTTCTAAAAATTGTTTAGAATTGAAGAAGCCTCTTGGTCCATTTTAAAATCCTAAGATGAAGGAAGATGCAGATGTTATGTGACTTGGATGACTGAGAACCTGCACGGGCATAACATCTGCATCTTCCTTCATCTGCAAGACTTTCCTACTTTAGCTGACAGATGTGCACGTGTCCAATGCAATGGGTCGGACACAGTGTTTAATCTGCCATCTTTGAGTACAACAATCCGTGTGATCTTTCAGCTAATAGTCAGTCAGTGCATTTAGGGTGGGCATCGTGGGTTTTCACGGAGGCTCCCTAAACCAGCTCCAGTAGTGCAAATGCAAGTGCTGTGTGCTACATGGGAGAGAGGACATCTGTGGGCAATATGCTGACTCAGTTCTCCTAAAATTGTCTGAAGTTAATGTTGGTTGATTGTTTGCACTCTTCCCAGCCATTTTGCTAATGTCACTATTAATACAAAAGCTTTAAAAGGTCTCCTACTAATTTATTTCCTCATCCGGTAGATAACCACTATGGAGACCAACCTGAAGTCCATCGAGGAGGAGAACAAGGTGATCGAGCAGCAGAACGACTCCCTGCTGCACGAGCTGGCTAACCTCAGCCAGTCGCTCATCAACAGCCTAGCTAACATCCAGCTTCCACACATGGTAAGAAAAAAAATCATCTGTGGCATGAAGAAGTAAACCTAGGATGACTAATAATGTGACAAGTATTCTTTTACCACTAATATAAGCTTCCTTAACGTGTAATTTAAATATCTAGAGACTTATAAATGTCAGTTAAATATTTAAAATTTTGAATTTACTGGTTTGAAAATCTTGTATGTTTAACATCAGTATACAACATGCTTGAAATACAAAGACAAATGTAAATAATTACATCTCAGAACAAATATACAGCAGTTTTAGAGCAGTGTTGGCTTTCTTAGCAGTTTAAAGTGGATCTTATTTTTATTCTTGGACTTTACTTTGAATGTGTCACAGTTAAAAAAATTCCCCTCATAACAGAAGGGTTTTAAGACCAGGTGGGTGGGGCTTCTGTGCCTGAGATGACCATATTTGGGATATCTCCACTATCCGACATCATGCAGACCCAAGACTAGAAAAAACAACTGTCTGAAGCTGAGTTTTTAGAGCAGTGAGAGTGTAGTAAAGCCTAAAACCAGCATGCATAAACCAGCATGCATTATCCAATCAAGATGGACTGAAATGCAAATCTATGTATTTATTTCTATGTTCTTTGTCTGACATGGCCTACTATATCTGTTACAGTTTGTGTAATGGCACTTAGGAAATGTTATGATTGTGTTTTGAGTGTTTGTTGGAGGCTTTTCTGTTTCACGTGTTGTAAATGAAATGTAGATCTGAGGCCAGCTGTTCATGATTTCGACCCAGGGATTTTTAAAAAGCCTTCTCCAGCTTCTTCCCCCCTTAGCAACACTCAGGTTTTTCTTCATCTGCTTCTTTCTGTTCTCCACCTTCTTCTTCTTTTTTTTCCTCCCAGCAGTTCATGCTGTGCTTCTCCTGTGCTTTGAAACGCCTCACAGATTTTCACATAAAGAAACGGCCCGTTGTTTTCTTTCTTTTGTTGTTGCTTTTTTGTTTTTGGTTGACTTTCAGTGAAGTTGCTCATGGCTGTTTTAACGTCATGTTGTCTCAGTGTCGGAAGAAGACTGGGGCTAATTGGATAATCTCTTAAAGCAGTAAAAACAGGAGGTGCTTGATAACTGGACTCTCTGCTTCCTTTCCTTCTTCCTTTAATGGGCGGGAATGCTTCATATCACACTGTAAGAAAAATATTCGCCTTAACAAGGAATTCTCAGAAAGACGCGATCTCATTACCAGAAAAATACTGAACTGAATCCAAAGTTCTGTTCACACTGCAGGACTTAAAATCTTTGATTCTAATTTAGCTCGCAGTGTAACAGTTAGTTCTCTCAGTTGTCTCTTTATCTTTGGCATTTTATACCTCTTTCAGTTCGTTCTGACTTTAAAATTATTCAGAAACTGGAAGCTTGCTGCAGTCTGAACAGAGCTGCAGGGCGAAAAGACTTGTTAAGGTGGACATTATGTTTTTTTCACTCCTCGGTGTAGCTTATGAAGCTTTGTGACCGCCGCTGTGTGTCTAGCGGGCTAATAGACTTCTCTGTACACCCTCTCCTGTAGAGACCGCTGCCACAGAAAGAGGCCCCAGTAAAGCATAACTGCTGTTTACAGATGCCTCCCAGAGTAAGAGATCCATTTATCCTTTATCCAATTATCCTTCTCTTCTGCACTGTCATCCCCCCTTCCTATAATTCCTGTAGCTCACTGTGGCATAGGCACATCCTAGCTATCCATTTATCCTGCAGCTTTCAACTCAGCCATGTTGATAGTGACATCAACTGTAGATAACCGCTTTTCCTCTTTATGACAAAAAATATATTGAGAAGCTAAATCTATCTTTAAATCAAATTTAGCCCCAGCAGAGAGTGTGAGAAATTCTCCTGCTTTGTTTTTTCTGACTGCACTGAAATGCTGAAATCATTAGATAGATAGATCATTAGATAACGTGACATTAACTGCAATTCTGCGCCTTAATGACGTAATGTTTTTTGTTTTTTTCACTTACCTATAAACTAAACCTATAAACTCATCAGGAAAGTACTTAGAGAGGTAAAATCCCCTTGACTACTTTATGAACTGAAGTATGTATGTAAACATAGGTATCGCCCCCTGGTGGCCAGTAAAAATAAAGTTGGTTTACGCTTCTTTCTTTCAGTCCCAGAAGCCAAGTCCTGCTTTTTATGGTGTCTATAGTCGAACGGCATTATCTGCTTTGCTATTGCACCAGCACTGAAAAGCTCAAATGAGTATCATTCGGTGGGCACATACACTGAAACCAGATTCACACACATCTTTTAACTGTTTTCAGTCCATTAAACGACTCCTGTCAGTCCCATAGATTTGCCCGCAGGCAGCCTCTTCCATCAACTAGTAAGCTCAGTAGTCTATTATCACCTCATTTAACGGTGGGCATGTCACTGGGATTTTTTTTTTATCCTACTGATTACAGTGGGTGATAACAGTCTTCTGGCATACTGGTATTAAAGGTAGGTTGTCTAAGATCTAAATTGACTTATTAATTAAAGAGCATACATAACTGAAATCTTTTTATCGTCCATTTAAAGCCCTTTAAATGAACAATAGAAAGACCTCTTAGTGGGCTCAGTTGATCGCTTCATTTAAGGATTACAATGATCAGTGATTAGAATGGATGATAACAACCTTCCTGTCTCCTCTTAGTACAGGAGGGCATCTAATGGGGGTATTATGACCAATCATGACCATTAAAGAGGCTAATAACAATGAAAGTGTGTGAATCATTTAACTTGAGACGTGGATATTTGACTTTTATGTGCCAATTAAAGACGGATCATTGGCTTTTTGAGGCTCTGGACTCAAATTCTTTGATTGGCTGAGTCAGTGTGAAGTTAGCAGGATGCAATGACAGCAGTGCAGTTAAGTGCAGGGCAACTGGCTCAGGCACCGAAATAGTCATTTGTATTAGTGTCCCTTAAAACCTATAAATGCCAAGTATTAAATGGAGGTCAGTGAAGACCTCAAAGACTATAGTGACTCTATAACATAATGTGACATTTAAGGTGGGCAATCATCAAATAACCCACCAAAATTCCTGAAGCCAAAGCTGCTCTCTCTCAGAGAAGTACTTGAACCACCAAAACTCCCAGTTGGCAAACATGACTTTCCAGTTATGTCTTTCCCATCTGCTCATTAGCATCCCATTAGTTTTTATCATCACAATTTTGTCTCCATGTGCTAAACATTAACCTTTCATATACCCACCAGCTAACCATCTCTCACCTGGTTTTTGCATGGTTTGGAGTTGCATTTTCGTAGATAATCGGCTGATATTACATCAAATATCGTACATTTACTTTTTAGAAAGGGAGTATTTTAGTGAAGCCATGCTTTCCCAATGGTGTCCCTTCCTCCCCCTGCCGCCCGCCTGTCTTCCAAACCTCCCCCCAGTGTCTGAGTGAAAATAAACCGCCACCTTTATCCCACCTGATTGTGTCTACATGGGTTTCTTTCCCCTCACAGGAACCAATGAATGAACAGAACTTTGACACTTATGTGAGTACACTGACAGACATGTACACCCACCAGGACCAGTACCAGAGCCCGGAGAACAAGGCGCTGCTGGAGAACATCAAACAGGCCGTGCAGGGCATCCAGGTTTAACTTTGACTGAGGCCGGAACAACAAATGCAAAGCAAAAGCAACAAATGGGGGGGAAAAAAGTGGAAAAAGCACGGAGTGGGTTGTTTTTTGCTGCTGTAATCTATCATTAGTTCTTTAATTTCTTCTGCGGTAATGCTCTCAACTCCATGGGTATCTCTTTTTTTATTATGTTGATTGTTGTTGCCTTGCTTTGAAAAAAAAGGTTTTAAATGAACATTCACGTTTTGTACATTTTCATATGACCTAATATAATGTGATGTACTGTTTATAGCTGCTAATGTATGCACATTCTAGTGTATATGTATGTATTTATTTATTGTAAGCTTGAATCATGTTTTATTTTAATGCGATTTTTTTCATACATCAGAAAAAAAAATACAAACTGGGCGTCACGGGTTTAACAGGGAGCAGAGCGGCGACTGGAACATGAAGAGCAACCACTTCTGAAAAGCTTCTCACGAGCTTGGAAGTTGCTCATTAATTCTTTTTGTTTTCCTCTTAATGTCTGGAAGCGGACACTAATGTAAATCTTTAGCAATGATGAGAAGAAGCGATGCTATGAGCAAGAAGATTTCAAACATCACGACACGGAAACTTTTTGGTGCAAAATCCCATCACCCCCTTCGGAGTTGTTCCGTTTCAAAGCTGTCCTGTTCCGCGGCCCGCTTTTTCTTTGTTCGTGGGAGGGAGTGCCAGTGGAAAGACCAATGGCTGCAGAAAATATAGGAGACAATCTGCCATTGTGAATTTATTTGAAATCATCAACCTCGACTAGCTAATAGAACAACGTGTCAGCAATATTGGTATGATAATATTAAAGCGTTTGTTTAGATATGGGATGCAATCTATATGAAAAAAAGTTGTTTGGGTATATGCAATTTCTTATGAATAAAACTAGAAAAGAGCTGATAGATCTTTTTACTAACTATAAATGTATTGCGTTTTGTATAAACCTTTTACTACAATCATGTTTTAGGAATCTGACACGGGTGAGAGGACTTTGGTTCTGTCATGTTCGACTTTGCACAGGGACACCTTTGTTTCCATGTTTTGATGTTTTTATTGCCCGTTAAGAGGCACTTAGCAGGCAAACGGATCTGTAGATATGACTTTTCTTTCTCGAGGCTGACGGCTCCGCTGGACTAACAGGGTCAAAGTTCCCATCCTTCATTGTATATTGCACTCGTTCTGTAGAAAACGTCTTTCCAGTCATGCATCTTGTTGTCTGAGCCACAATGAGACATGATGCCAGACGACGTGATGACCAAGCACCGCTTTTCTTTTTTTCTTTTTTAAGTCTTTGTAATTGAAAAAGATGAATGAAAACTAGAGCCAGCAGTCGTGACGTCTGTGCACTGAATTTACCGACTGAGTATTTGATCTGAATCGGCCTTACCGATGACATTCGGTCTGAAATCACAGTACTGATGGAACATGTTTTCTCAACACCGTCGATCATGCATGCACTTTATTGGAGTATGTTAAAGTATTATCACGTGGTAAATGAAGCAAAAACTGTACAGCGAGTTTGTGGAAACTGACTTTGATAAGACTTTGCGCTGGAGATGCCTGTGGGAAAGCAACTTGAAGCAAATTTCACTGAGTTGATTTATTTAAGGGAAAACTCCCCCTGTGGTCTCTCCCCAGTCTCCTTTATTTCACAGTCCAAGATTTAGCAGAAGAAAACGTCTTCACGGTCAAGCTTTTGTCTGAAACATCACAGTTCAGGATCTCTTCTTTGGTATGCAGACACATTCTAAAACGTGTTTTCACTGGATAATAAGACAATAATCATTTTTTAATATGTCTGCCATCTTTTCCAAAATATGGTGTCAACAGAGTGGAAAACTGTAGTGCCCTTTTATTTTCTGCATAGACATTGTAAGATGACTCCTGGAGGACTTAACCTCCTGAGACCTGGGCTCATGTTTGGGTTACTTGGGATGTAACAGGCCTGTGTTGGTTAGAATGGAAGGAGGGTGCGTGGTTCCAAAATGAGTTGAAAAAATCTCATATGTTTTCTGTGTGTACATAAAAACGTGATTATATGTTGTAAGCCGATTACAACCCCCAATGTTTCCAGAAGATTAATTGAACCGAGTGCAACTTTAGGTTACCCACTAATAACACTAACAAAAAGTATAAATCAAACCTAATTCTTTATAGAAACAGATAATATGATGGGAAACTGTGTTTATGCAATGCAAAATGTTTAAACATTTGCACATCTGATGGGCTTCTCTGCATATGCTGACTGATATATTACTGTAAAGCCACTCTGGACCAAATTAAGACATGAATAGTATCACTGTATATGATCCAGGAGCCTCGTGAGAATCTAGGATGGAAATGTTTGAGTATATTTTTAAAATAGATTTGTTTGAAATTGTAATACATGGATAAAGACAAATTTTGGAACTTGCACTATACAGCTTAGTTATAGCAGTTAGACAGTTAAAGTGATGAAAGGGTGGAATTTTCCTCACTTATACAAGCATAAAAGTTTAATTTAATGTTTTAAAGGAAAGCAATTTATTGGATTGTTTCTAAATAATACATAATTACGCCACCATAATTACCAGCAGAAACACTTGATACAGCTGGTATCCATATGAAAGTTTTTAGACAAGCGGTACTAATGAAAGCTGAAACTTCAAAGTACAGAAATGTTGATAAATCTTTTATGGAAACTAAACTGCATTTCTGTGTAATCAGGTGCAGCAGTATGTGCTGATATATTTAAACCTGCACAAATAACCAGCTCGTCTAGATATGAATATAAATGAGGGGAAAATATTTACTTGTGTAAAAAAACTACAAATTGTCTCATCATACTATAATACATTTTTTATGTATTTTTTTTTTCACACAAGGGAGAAACAAACTGCAAAGGGGGGAGTTTTCTTTTAAGACTTCTTTGGACATTTACTGCAAAGTCTCATTCCCTGACTTTTACATCTTCGTCCAGAACTTGGCGTCTGCAGCTTCCTGCCAGTAAACTTCTGCGTTAGATAGACTGACAGCTTGTATTTTTTATTTAGTCAGTTATTCTTACTGATAACAAAGGAAATGGGAGTAAAAGCACAATTCTGCCATTTAAAGACAGTCGATAGACTAGATATTGTAATAACAGATGTAAAAGCTAAACTGTAACTATTTACATAGAGAATCTCAACACTAACATGTGACACGCTAGAATGCAAAAGAAAATCCATATGAATATTTGTGAAATCATCAATTTATGAAGATGATCGTTTCTTTTCAGCAGTGCACAGATAAGGGGTTTTTATACAACATTCATTTTCTCTCCTTTTACCCCTTTTTCTCTGTTACTTGCAAAACTTTCGACAGCAGTTTTCTTACCACATGGCATGGGTTTCTGTTGATATTTTTGCTGTATGTTTAAGGTCATGAGTTGCTATGTGATATTTTAATTTGACTTGTGAAGTTTGTACAATTTTTATCATGCTGGTGTTGGCATCTCTTGCTCTGAATAAATCTTGTGTTGCAACACTGATTATAACCTTCACTTTGTTTGTCATTTTTAAAGCTGACAGTTAGTTATGTTAATAGTGTGCAGTCGGCAGACATTTAGGGATTTTTATTATTTATACACCAATGAAAAGAGATCCAGTTGCCCAGTTACCTTTGTGACTGAAAAATAGAATATACACCAATTTGCCAAACCATTAAAACCACTATGATGTAGGAAAAAGGAAAATGTAAGGATCTGTGTGACCTTGACAAATGGTAGTTTGAGTCTGAGACCATCTCCAGTAAAGCAAGCCTTCCCAGGATGCACTGGCTAGTTTCAGTACCTAAAGTAGTTCAGGGATATCTACCTGGGTACTGATGAAACGCATTAGAGTTAAGGCTGGGTTTTTGTTTTAGCCACATTCTAGATAAGCATATTTTAAATTTTATTTGGTTTAGGTGGGCAAGAATTCTGTAAGGAGGGGTGGACATTAAATCGACCCAATCCCTAACTCTGAGTCCTAGGTAGTTTATTGATGGACTTAACAGAAATGGGATAGCATACACAGCTTCTGCAGCTGGTCAGGATCTTACTATCTGCTACTGGTGGCACCTACAAGCACGTAAGTGTTTGATCTGAACCAGTGATTTTCTTCAGGTTACCAATACCTTACTAGTACCAGGTTGGATCCCTTTTGTCTTGAGAGCTGCCTTAGTTCTTCATGGCACAGTTTCAACAGGGTGCTGAAAACAATCCTCTGTGATTTTTGTCCATATTGACGTGATAGCATCGCACATTTTTTTGCAGCAAACTCATTGCCATGATCAATCAACCAGTTTGAAACCAACTTTCTGACATGGTGTATTACTCTGCTGGAAGTTGCCATCAGAGATGGGTACACTGTTCATACAGGAATGAACATGGTCAGCAAAGATACTCAGGTAAGCTGTAACATTTAAAGGATACTCAAGCGACACTTAGGGGCCCAAAGTTTGGAAGAAAATGTCCCCCATGCCATCACACCAATAACACTATCCTGAACCACTGATAGAGGGCAGAATAGAGCCAAGCTTTCATGTTGTTGACCCTACCTTCTGAATGTCAGCAGAAATTGACTCGTCAGACCTGCTAATGTTCTTCCAGTCTTGTGATTCTCCAGTTTGGTGAGCCTGTGTGAATTCTAGCCTCAGTTTCTTGTTATTAGCTGAAAGGAGTGGTACTTGGTGTGGTCTTCTCCTGCTGTAGTCCATCTCCTTCAAGGTTGAACATGGTCTTCTGCATACCTTGGTTGTAAGTACTTATTATTTGAGCTTCTGATGCTTTCCTACAAGCTCAAAGCAGTCTGGCTGTTCTCCTCTGGCATCAAGATAAGACAAACCTTTATTACACGTGGGAAATTTGTTAGGTCACGGCAGAAAGTGGACAGTACAAGTTACAAGCAGCAAAAATGAAGAAAAACAAGGAACAGGATAAGATCAAATAGAGGGGATGTTGTCCAACAGGGATGACCGCTTAGCCTCCATTCTCTGGTCACTCACTACCTCCACTGGGTCCAGAGGGCATCCTAGAGCAGAGCTGGCCCCATGGATTTGCCTGTTCAGTCACTTTCTGTCCACAGCAGAGATGGTGCTGCCCCAGCAACAAGGCAGAATTGCTGTTTAGTATAAAATAGAATAGAATGCCTTTATTGTCACTATACAGATGTACAATGAGATACAGAGCATCTCCTACTCAGTGCGAACATGTGGGAGAAGAAAGGAGGGTGAGGTGCACAGTTTCTGCAGCACTATACATATGAACACACACTCCCCGTTTATGTATAAGGGGGCTAAGTCTGTGCTGTGCCTCCTGAAGGCGACAGTGACCTCTTTGGTTTTCTTGTTGTTCAGTGCCAGGTTGTTCTCTGAACACCGTGCTGCCAGCTTCAGGATTTCCTCTCTGTAGGCTGCCTTGTCTCCCTTTGAGACCCCTCCCTTAGAGATTGTTGTGTGAGCAAACTGAGCAGTTTGAGAAATCTGCATATTGCCTGTCTAGCAACAACAACAATGCCACTTTCAAAGTCACATAAGTCACTTTTTTATGAAGTTTCAAACCAGCCTGCTGAAGTTCAATGTCTGCTTGTCTAAATACAATTGGACATAATTTTTGCTGTACAAACATTGTAAATAACAAACTGTGATATGTGAATAAAGCTTTAAAAAGAAATTAAATCCATAAATAATTCTAAAACCACAAGTTCGGTAGAGGGCGCACATGCGTTATCGCAATCGTTGGCCTGCGTTGTTGTACTTCCGGGTGAAAACATGTCCATTTCCGGCGTGGAAGACGACACAAACAAACCAGTCGTGCTGTGGCGGGTTTTTATTCCCCGTGTGCTAACAGTTACAAACGAGCTGCGGATGTGCGCTTTGCCCGCTCGGTGTGTTGAGGCTGGGCGGTGAAGAGACGATTACCATGGTGAAGTGTGTCGTCTCTGGGTGTCCGAACCGCATGGTTAATGTTAGCCGGGGGCTCTTCAACAGACCCAAGAAGAGGTTCTTCAACTTCCCCCAGGACCCTGCGCGTGTCCAGGTAGGGTCAAAAAACTTTGAGAGTTACAACATATTTACAAGCTACATGTTTGAATAGCGATCGTTAGCATCTCTTATATCTGATTCTACCGGCTAACATGACGCTAACATGATGCCAGTTAAACAGCTGCTGTTTAAATAACCCTGATGACATGTGTTAGCTCATTTACTACACAGCTGGAGTGAACAGGAACCCATTTCCAAAACATGGAATCAGCTGTGCTGTTTACGCTATTTAAAGCTAGTTTGGCCAGTAGACAAGTAAATATTGTTTTCTTTTTATTTCTACCAGATAAATGCAGTTTTAATCACAAATAACTACCAGGTTACCAATTTGCCCTGTATCACAATATCTGTGATGGAGTAAAACCCCAGCCAGTCAAACTAGAGATCAATAAAGACTAACTGTAACTGTGTTCAGGTGTGGCTTGCAGCGCTGAGGGAGACGGAGAAGCAGGACTCTGTGGAGCAGCATCTAATCTGTGAAGACCACTTCTTGCCAGAGGACATCTCGGATGAGGGCGTCAGCAGCGACGCCATTCCAATAATGCCCCCCTGCCTGGACGGAGCCCTGGGTCTGCTCAGTCAATGGGGGGCCGAGTCGTCCGAGGAGGAGGATCAGTGGGCTGCTGGAGGAGGAGGGGGTGAGGAGGAGGAGGAGGAAGAGGAGGAGGACGTTAATGTTCCTGTTATACCTTTTGCACGAAGACCTACTCCACATAAGCAGGTAAGAAAATGTCTATCTCTACATTTCTTTGTGTGATGTAAAGTAAGGTCCAGTTCACAGCTGGTTGCTGTTCCCTGTATAGAGTCATACAGCGTCGGTCTGTAAGTGCCAAGTTTGCCAGTTTTGTTAAATACATAAAGGCCTCGATGACCTGTGATTTGGGAGTGAGAGTACTAGAATGTATTTGGCCTCCAGTACCACTGTGAGGAACTTTGGAGTCATTTTTGACCAGATTATGACCTTAGTTGAGTGGAGGGATAAAGGGATGTCACGTTGATGCATTTTTTTAAGTTAAAAACTTTTTTGTTTTGATTTTGTTTACTTGTCAGTTCCAAACTACTGACTTACTGAATATATATTTTACGTTGAAGACATAACTGAGTGTATAAGCAGTTACAATATTGTTTAATTTATTAACCACAGTGTTTGAAAACATGTATTTAAACAATCAGCTTGTAATTGATCGTTTCCTTTTGGGTTGATTCTTATGTTTTGGTGTGAATAAGTTGGACATGAAATCATTCTGACTTTGATCTGCTTTGTTTTCACTTTTTGAACTTGAGGAACCAGATGCCAAGACGAATTTAGGAACAAAAAGGTAAAAAACCCCAAAACAAACCAAAATGTTTCTTTTTTTTTTTTTTTGCTTTCTTGCTACATTTTACAAATGGTGGTCAAGTTGTAATTCCACTGCCTTAACAATAAATGATAAGTGAATTTAGTTCATTTTTTATCTTTCTTTCCAGGGAAATCCTCAGTCATTTAAAAGAGATGATACAGACCAGGATATCCACCCGACAAGGTGCATCCTTCTTTGATATTTATTATTTATTCAGATTTTTTATTAGGGTTAGGTTAGATTTGAAATACAGAGAAGTAGTGGACAAGATCGAGTAAATGTTCAGCTAGCCAACTGGAGACTCACGGATTGGGACTTTAACAGCCACGTGGTGTGTAGTCCTAACCTGTTTTAGTGGATAACATAGAAAGATGTAGACTTAAAATGTTTTTATCCCCTTGTTCCGCCTCTGAGTGTCATGGTGGTTTCAGA